TTTGCTCTAATGGGTGATTCTGAGTGGGCTCCTGGATGGCTTTAGGAGGGCTGCTCACCAGAAACATGAAGCCGCGACTAAGAGCTTGGAGTGCTCAGCCTTGCCCCACAAATCCTCTGGGAAGCAGAGAGGGGCTGGACAGTGAGCCAATGACTGATCTTGATGACATGATAAAGTCCCTACAGTACAGGGTTCCCAGAGCTCCAGGGAACATCCATATTCCAGGAAGGTGACACAGTCTGGCTTCACAGAGGCAGGGGCTCTTATGCTCACGATCCCTTCTGACATCACTCTGTATATCCCTTCATTTGGCTCTTCATCAGTCTCCCTTGCCATATCCTTTTATATAATAAAATGGTAAATATAAGTGTTTCCCTGAGGTCTATGAGCCATTATAGCAAATTATTCAACCCAAAGTTCAGGGTTGTGAGAAGCCTGATTTATAACCCACTGGTCAGAAGTCTAAGTTACACCTTGAACTTGAGATTGGCATCTGAAGTGGGGACAGTCTTGTGGGTGTGAGCCTTTACTCGTCGGATCTGACAGTAACTCCAAGAAGACGATGTCAGAATTGAAGTGAACTAGAGGAGACTCAGCTGGCATCACAGAGAATTGCTTAACATGTGGAAAACCCACACATCTTATGTCAGAAGTACTGTGAGTGTGTGCTGAAAGAGAAACCACAGAGGAGCGTGTCTTTCCAACTCAGCTAGTGTTATGGTAATATTGCTTTGTAACTCCATCAACTGGTTCATAAATCCACCAAGTGGGATTTATTTCTGAAATGTAAGAATGGTTAGACATACCACAACGGATCACTGTAACAGACCGCATTAACAGAGATTTTCTTAACTGATGCAGAAAAAGTACTTGACAAAATTTAACATCCTTTCATGATAAGAAAAAAAAACCCACTCAACAAACTAAGAATAGAAGGAAAGTACCTTAGGTAATAAAATACAGATACGAAAAACCCACAGCTAAAATCAAACTCAATTATAAATGACTTAAAGCTTTTCCTCTAAAATCAAGAAGAAGAAGTGGTGCCTGAGTGGCTCAGTCGGTTAAGTGTCCGACTTTGGATCAGGTCATGATCTCGCAGTTCGTGGGTTTGAGCCCCACGTGGGGCTCCATGCTGCCGGTGCAGAGCCTGCTTGGGATTCTCTCTCCCCCTCTCTCTCTGCCCCCCCCCCACTCAAACTTTCTCTCTCAAATAAACTTAAAAAGTAATAAAAAAGATAAAAATAAAAACCATTTACATAGTATCAAAAGAACAAAACACTTAGGAATTAGCATAACCAAGAATGTGACACACTTGTACACTGGACACTAAAATACATTGCTGAAAACAGCCAAGGACATACTCTCTTAGCCTTAGCACCATCTTCTTGGAAACCTCTGCATCATGAAAGCCAAGTGGAGGAAGAAGCGAATGTGCAGGCTTAAGTGTAAAAGATGAGGCAGGGGTACCTGGGTAGCCCCATCAGTTGGGTATCTGACTCTTGATTTCTTCAGCTCAGGTCATGACCTCACGGTTTGTGGGTTAGAGCCCCACATCGGGCTCTGCACTGACAGCATGGAGCCTGCTTGGGATTCTGTGTCTCCCTCTCTCTGCCCCTCCCCCACTTGCTCTCTATCTCAAAAATAAACATTAAGAAAGAAAGAAAGAAAGAAAGAAAGAAAGAAAGAAAGAAAGAAAGAAAGAAAGATGAGGCAGAGGTCCAAGTAAACCACTAGCTTGTGCACCCACAGAAGCCGCAGGAGCAGAAACAAGGAAAGCCAGAGGCCAGGGATGCTGGTACGAATTGTTGGACTGCATGCCTACTTTCTAGAACTTGATTCAATGACTCTAGAACATCCATCATCATCTGATTGCAGTGACACAGCACAAGCCTTGCTCATACCAAAACAGTCCCTTTTAGTCCTTTGCCCTGGACCTGTGACTTTCAGGACTAACTCTGTTTCCACTTGTGGCTGAATATAACATGTGTACAACAAATCATCTCTTCTGCTGTCTTAGCTGAAAAAAAACAAGACAAACTAAAGACATAACTGGAAAGACATTCCATGTTCATGTATTAGAAGATTTAGTATTGTTAAAGTGTATTACTCAAAGTGATCTACAGATTAAATGCAATCTCTATCAAAACCCCAATGATATTTTTTGCAGAAATGGAAAAACCCTTTCTGAGATCCATATGGAATCTCAAGGGACCCCAAATAGCCAAACAATCCTGAAAAAGAACACAGTGGGAGGACTCACACTCTCTGATTTCAAAGCCTACAACAAAGCTACAATAATCAAAACAGTGTGGTACTGGCATAAACACAGACAGACCAGTGAAATAGCCCAGAAATAAACCTTTGCATGTGTGGTCAAATGATTTTTGACAAGGATGCCAAGACCATTCAATGAGAAAAGGACAGTGTTTTCAACATATGGCATTGGGAAAACTGGATATGTACATGCAAAAAGTGAAGTTGAACCCTTACCTAAAATCATATATAAAAATTAATCCTACACAGATCAAAGACGTAAGCCTAAGAGCTACAACTATAAAACTCTTAGAAGAAACCATAGGGGGAAAGCTTCATGACACTGGATTTGGCAATGACTTCTTGGCTATGACACCAAAGGCACAGGTTATAAAAAAAATAACAAGAGTGCATACACTCAGTGTCACTAATCATTAGGGAAATGCAAATAAAAACCACACTGAGATTCAACCTCACACCCATTAGGATGGCTACCATCAAAAAACCAGAGGGGCACCTGTGTGGCTCAGCCGGTTAGGCGTCCAACTTCAGCTCAGGTCATGAATTTGCAGTTCATGGCTTCAAGCCCCACATCGGGCTCTGTGCTGACAGCTCAGAGCCTGGAGCCTGCTTCTGATTCTGTGTGTCCCTCTCTCTCTGCCTCTAAAAAAGGCTCATGCTCTGTCTCTCTCTGTCTCTAAACATTTAAAAAATTAAAAAAAAAAAGGAGTTCGTGTTAAAAAACCAGAAAAGAACAAGTGTTGGCCAGGATGTGGAGAAACTGAAAAACCTTGTGTACTGTAGGTGGGAATGCACAGTGGTGCAACAGCTGTGGAAAACTGTGTGTGTGTGTAGGGGGAGGTCTTCAAAAAACTAAACATGGAAGGGGCACCTGGGTGGTTCAGTTGGTTAAGCGACCGACTTCAGCTCAGGTCATGATCTCACAGCTTGTGAGTTTGGGCCCCGAGTCGGGCTCTGTGCTGACAGCTTGGAGCCTGAAGCCTGCTTTAAGATTCTTTGTCTCCCTCTCTCTCTGCCCCTCCCTCACTGATGCTTTGTTTCTCTCTTAAAAAAAAAAAAAAAAAAAAAAAAAAAAAATTAAACATAGAATTACCATTTGCTCCAGCAATTGCACTTGTAGGTAAGCAGCATTATTCATGTAGTCACAAGATGAAAACGAGCCAAATGTCAATTGACGAACTGAATGGATGCACAAAAGGTGGTTTGTACCCACAAAGTATTATTGGCCCATAAAAAAGAAGGAAATTCTGACACGTTACAATATGGAGGTATCTTGAAGATGTACCCCTTAAATACATGATAAGCCAGATACAAAGAGACAAATATTTACGATTCCACTTGTATGAGGTACCCTAGAAGAGGCTCATTCATAGAGACAGACAGCAAATTGGAATTACTGGAGATGGGGGGAGGGAGTGGGGGATTACTGTGTTACGGGGACAGAGATTCAGTTTGGAATAATGAAACGGGTCCAGAGATGGGTGGTGGTGATGGCTGCACAACACTGTGAATATATTTAATGCCCCTGAACTAGACACTTCACAGCGGGTGAAACGGTATTTTTCCAGAATAAAAAACTGCACATAAAAACACGCGAGTGCACATCACAGAAGACCCCTACCCTGTACCGCAGGCGCAACCACCCAGCCCCGGCTTTCCGGGGACACTCTTTCGGGCTCTGAGGGGCCCACTCCCAAAGGCGCAGCTTCTGTCGAGCCTTCAGCTCCCTGAGGCCTTTTATGTATCTACACATTAAAGAACATCTTTGGTTTCACGTCCAAAGAGCCCTAAGTGGAGAGAACAAATCGGGGTTCGTTTTCTGTCGCAAAGTAAGAACTTAGCAATTGCCAGCCGTGGTCCAGCTGCCACGTGGCATCGGTGGGCCGCAGGTCTGCGCCCGAGCTCGGGGCAGCAAGGAGCACAATTCTCCAAACGTTTCACGGATGCTGCACAAACGCGTCCCCACCGTCGGGAGCCCGCCCCACCCCCCACGACCGACGGCACCGGCCCTGGGCCCCCGCCGCCTTCCCCGGGCTGTGACAGCATGCGATGCAGCAGCAAGTGTGAAGGACCTCCTGCAGCAGGAGCTCTGGGGTGCCACCCGCCCTCACGACCCCGTTGTCCTGGAGACCGGACCGGCACCGGAAGCGGCGCGCAGGGAATGACGCTCAGTGCGTGCGACCCGCCCCGCGGCTGCGCGTGCGAAGGTGGGAGCGAGCTCCGCGGCCAGGGCGCCCTGGCTCCGGGCATCGGTGCCGTGGCGGGGGAGAGCACCCCGCAGCGGGCGCGGCGCCGGGACAGCCGAGGGCGGGTGCAGGATGAAGGAGAGTTCAGTGTACGCTGGGCCACGGCCTGTCCGCTTCCCTAACACTAACCCTAGCCCGAAGCGCTCCTCCTCTGTCCCGGACCGCAGTCCCCAGCTCTGCTCTCCGCCCGCGGACCTCAGGCACAGGCCTCGGGACACGCGAACGCTCGGGTCTCGCAGCACCCATCGGCCCGCGTAGTCCGGGAAACGCGGGGCGCGACCAGAGGCGGGGCGCTCGCGGATTGGCAGGCCCCACGGTGATGGACGGAACGGGCGGGTTGGTGATTGGTAGAGGCGTCAGGGGCGGGGCGCGCGAGCCCAGGGAGGTGGGCGGGCCCCGAGGTGATAGACGGAGCGGGCAGCTTGGTGATTGGCTGGAGGCAGCACGCGGAGAGGGGCGGGGTGGTGCGCGCGGATTGGCGGGAGGTGGCCGGCAGCGCGCGGCTTGGTGAGTGAGGTCCCGCGTCCACCGGCCCGCGTGGCGGCGGCGGCGGCGGGGCCGGGGTTCCGAGTCCGCGCGTGGCGGAGGATGGGCGGCTTCTCTCAGGGTCCCTGCTGCATTCGACAAGCTGAAGTTAGAGCGCGGGCCAGGACTTCTTCCAGGGCTGCGGCCCCGCTCAGCTCGTTTGGGCCGGAAGTCAGTCCGATTCCGCCCCGGCCCAGAGCCGTGCGGTACAAGCAGGGTACGGGCACCTAGCGGCTGCCCTGAAACCATGCACGAAAAAGGAGGGACCGAAGGCCGTCCCATGTGCACTGTCCGACAGTTTGCACCGGGCTCGTGGTTCAGAGCGCGGCTCGGTGCGGCCCGGGCTGCTGCCGGGAGGCGGGGTTGGGGCTCCGTGCGGTTTGGGCGTCCACGGGAGGCGGGGTCGGGGCTGCGTTCGGTTTGGGCGGCCGCCGGGAGGCGGGGTCGGGGCTCAGTAAACAGTAAAATGGGAGAAATAGAAGTGCCAAGGGACGGTTGCAGTTGAAGAGGGTGAAGCGTTAGCAAAGACAGAGAGAGCAGGGTATGGGGAGCCAGCGAGTCTGCACCTGTAGGCAGTGGAGGGAGAAGAGCTGGGGCAGATGTCAGTAGAGACTTGGGGTTTTAGTCACTGAAACGGAGGGCCTTTTGAGCAAAGGAGTGACTGATTAATATTTTGTTTAAAATAGGCTTATTATTTTATGGTAGACTTATCTGATAATGAGACTGCCCTCATGCCCTGAGATGGGGCAGGTGCGGGGGAGCAAGATGGGGGTGGATGGCAGGTAGAATTGGGACGCCCGCTAGTTGTCTAGGTGGAGGTGCGAGGCCAGCCGTGGATACCTGGGGCAGGTCTGGAGAGCTCTGGGTGGGAGAAGCATTTCCTAGCTCTCCTTTCTGGATGAGGATTCCAAGGCACACTTTGGTATCCAGCACAGCTGACTTCCAGGTGCCATCCTGAACCATGTGTGGGGAGAGCCGCAGCTCTCCCCTCCTCTCCCAGTGCCCATGGGTGCAGTGGAGACACACCAGGAAAGCCATGGAGTGGGCAGGGGTTGCAGGGACACGTCTGTGTGTTCACAGTGACTGCCTCCTCCTCGGCGTGAGCACCAGGTCTGGACGCATCCAGCGCAGCCATGTTCTCTGAGCAGGCTGCCCAGAGGGCCCATACTCTGCTCTCCCCGCCGTCAGCCAGCAATGCCACCTTCGCCCGCGTGCCTGTGTCCACGTACACCAACTCCTCGCAGCCCTTCCGGCTGGGGGAGCGCAGCTTCAGCCGGCAGTATGCCCACATTTATGCCACCCGCCTCATCCAAATGAGGCCCTTCCTGGTGAGCCGGGCCAAACAGCACTGGGGTAAGTGATGAATTCGGGGAAGTGCTTCCTCCCCACCAGCCCAGAGGGTCCCTGGAGTTTTCAGAAATGTCATATGAGGGACCTGGTAGAGCTGGAACCTTCTTCAATTTATCCCACTTCTCAGTTATCTTGGGAATGTAAACCTGTTTGTGCCTCAGTTTCTTCTTCAGGTAGTCATGAGGATTAGCTTAGGAATTGCTAGGTTTAGAGTGAGGTTTAGTTCCGAGGCTGGGTGAGATGGGGCTGAGCTCTGGCGTAGCCGTGATGATTTCACTGGTGTAAGCGTACGTTTTTCCTTTTCTTGAGTTCAGATTGTGTGTCCATGCTGTGGCTAGCAAGGGGCTCAGTGTGGCAGGCCAGCCACCAGGCACTGGGAGCCAGGGTGTCCGTGAAGACACCCACCGCCTCTCTAGGGGGCTTCCTGTGTGCTCACTGATGTCTGTCTGTCTGTCTGCTTCTCCTCTGCACCTTCCGTGTTGGTTGGGCATGAGTCTCCTGTCCCTGGGGCTCTCCTGTCTTTCCTAATCAAGGGGCCTGGGCAAGGCACATCTTTGCTTTTTTCCCCACTTCTTCTGTGCTCTCTCCTGCAGGACTCCCACCTTTGACTTTTGCTGCCTCACTCAATTCTTCTGTTTATAAGAGTGGCTTTCCATGTAGTTTTCAACTCCTCTGTTACATTGTTAAACTGGAATGTTCATAGGTGGGACCGTGTCTTACTCATTTTCCTTGCCCCCAGCACTGGACTCGGTGGTCCCAGCTCTGGCTGCACACTGGAAGCAGCAGGAAGGCTGTGGGACAGAGGTGCCTGTCCCGTCCCACCCCACTGAGCCGACGGCATCGCCTCTGGTTTCATTATAGGCACGAGAACTAGACCATCACACCTGCCAGGGATGTTTTCTGTTGTCTCTGTTGCAGGCACGAGTGCTGTCACCTTTCCTCTCTTCACATGATGAGGGGCTCCTTCCTCTGGCTCCCAGTGGCCTTTTCCTCGCTTCCCTTGCAGCTTCCTCCATTCTCCTCGGTTTCTGTGTCACTGCTATCATTCTGGTACCACACCTGTCTTGCAGTCACCATTCCTGCTAACAAAGCTGCCCAGTGACAGAAAACAGCTGTCTTACTCTGCCCACAGATGGGTCAGAGTTCAGACAGCGGCCGTGGTGAATGGGGCCTTGGCTGGGGTTGAAGCTGGCTTCTCCCAGAATGCGTCCCTGCGCATGGATTCCACGTGTCACCAGGCTTTCCGACCAGACTTCAGCCTGTCCCGGGACTTGTCTGTCTCTCTTGAGCTTCCCGACCACGCTGAACCCCTTCTCAGTGTTGGCATCGCCTCCGCCTGGCACGCTCTTTCCCCGTCTTCCCTCGTGACCTCAGCTTACTGTCCTGTGCTTTGAGAGGCCACAGCAGCCCTCAGGGCTTTCTTGTTCCCTTTGCCTTGGCTCCCCCTGGTTTGGAAGCTTGCGGAGGGTGAGGACAGGCCTTGGTGTTCACTCTTGGTGCTGGTGTCTGGCCCGATGCCCACACGCTGTCCAGCTGGACAGCTGTCCTGCCCTCGACACAGGGCTGTGTGGCTCTACCAGGTGCTCAGCTGCATTCGTTGGGCCCCAGCTGTGTACCCTTGGACGCGTCACTCAATCTCCCTGTGCCTCCGTTTCCTCAGCTGTATATCGGGGCAGTAACATCTACTCTGGCATGTTGTCAGCGTGGAGAAGTTCCACTTGCTGCTCGGCACGTCCCCCCCAGGGCTGAGCGAGGGCCCTGCAGACAGGCTTTGGGGGTGTGTTTCCATGCCATTTCTGTCTGGTGCTGGCGCTCTCCTCTTGTTTTGAACTACCCACCTCCACTCCCTGGGATGTAGATCTGTGGAATGTTCTTGGTTACTCCAGGGCAGAAGGGGCTCAGGAAGAGGTTGGTCCAGCATACACAGGACCCCATCTGGTCCTGACAGCACTTCCCCAGGCTCAGGGTCTCTCCTGACAAACCCACAGGCCTCCTGGGACTTGCATTCCCTCTCTCCTGCCCACGAGTCTGGCCGACTGCGCCTCTCTGATGTTTTTAGGGCAGGGCTGCGCAGAGAGTTGGCATGCTTCCTCCTCAGAGCCAGTGTCACAGTTAGGTATAAATGATGTAAGACTGTTGGTTCCCTATTGCTTTTTGCTGCAGCAGATGACAAAGCCACAAACTGAGCAGCTTAGGACAACAGAAATGTGATCTCAGTTCTGGAGGCCAGGAGTGTGACATCAGGTGTTGGCAGGGTCGCGCCCTCCGGAGGCTCTTAGGGAGGACCCTTCCTTGTCTCTTCCAGTCCCTGGTGGCTGCCTGGGCCTCCCAGTCTCTGCCTCCGTCTTCATGGTGCCTCTTCTGCACGTCTGCCTTTCTTATAAGGACACGGGATCCAGGGACCTAACCATATCCCGGATCCTTCTATCCCGGGGCCGAGTCTACTAGTTTTGGGGGTCCTTGCCCCCGAAGGTCTCTTTCTCCTCCAGAGCCCAGGCCCGTGGGCTGCATGGCTCCGTGAGGCCTGTTGCAGTGCCCCAGGGTGGGCTGGGAGGGCTGCCTGGTCTGAGCTCATGCCCGTCACACTCAGGTGCTGGAGTCCAAATAAAGAAGCTGTGTGAGCTACAGCCCGGGGAGAAGTGCTGTGTGGTGGGGACCCTGTTCAAGGCCATGCCGCTCCAGCCATCCATCCTGCGGGAGATCAGCGAAGAGGTGAGCCAGCTGGCTGACGCATGCCTCCCCTGGGACACGTCCTGTGGGCGCCCGTGGGACCTCCTGCCATGGTCCCAGGGAATCGGGGGTTGGGGTCACCGTGCCATCTCACTTGTGGGGCGCAGGAGCCTTGGTGGCCTCCAGCCCCAAAACTACCTCCCGTCTCCGAATTCCAGCACAACCTACTCCCCCAGCCCCCACGGAGCAAATACATCCATCCGGACGACGAGCTGGTCTTGGAAGATGAACTGCAGCGCATCAAACTGGAAGGCACCATTGATGTGTGCAAGCTGGTCACAGGTAGGGGCAGGAGGGGTGGCCTGTGCACACAGGTGCTGGCACATCCCTGCCTCCCTGGAGTGCTGGGTTCAGGGTCAGACAGTGGGTGAGGCCTGAGGGGGGCGCCAGTGTTCCTGCCTCCACCCAGAGGCCGTGACCCCGGGAAGCACACTCGGTCCCAAGTCCTAGGTGATCATTTGCCAGCGCGGCACAGGAGAACTGGACGGTTTTGCATTGTGAGTGACTGGAAGGAAGCGGTTCTTGGGCTTCCCTCCTGGAGGCTAACAGCACTGCTCTGCAGGGACGGTCCTGGCCGTGCTCGGCTCTGTGAGAGACACTGGGAAGTTTCTGGTGGAGGACCACTGCTTTGCAGAGCTTGCTCCTCAGGAGCCCGCACCCTGCCTTGACACAGACAGGTGAGGAGCAGGTGCACAGGGGCCCAGCCGGTGGTCCCGGGAAATCACAGGTGCTGGGCTGCATGTCTCCTGCTCACCCGTGATGGCGGCCAGGGTGGGTGCAGAGCGGGGACACCTGCCGTCTGGGCACCCATGAGGACCCCGACTTCTCCCGCAGGTTTGTGCTGCTGGTGTCTGGCCTGGGCCTGGGTGGAGGTGGGGGCGAGAGCCTGCTGGGCACCCAGCTGCTGGTGGATGTGGTGACCGGGCAGCTGGGGGACGAGGGGGAGCAGTGCAGTGCCGCACACGTGTCCCGGGTCATCCTGGCCGGGAACCTCCTGAGCCACAACACCCAGAGCAGAGACTCCATCAACAAGGTACAGTGCCTGCCTGCCTACATTCAAGCTCCTCCTTCCCCCGGGAGAGTCAGGGTCCAGGGCCTCACATGTCTGGTGGGACGTGCCCTGCGGTGATGCCAGGACCTCTGCTTGGGGCCCACTCTGAGGGCAGGGGAGCCCGTGGTGCAGACCCTAACCACACCCAGCAGCGGGGGCCTCACAGCCTGTTGACTCGTATCCCCAGGCCAAGTACTTAACCAAGAAAACCCAGGCAGCCAGCGTGGAGGCCGTCAAGATGCTGGATGAGATCCTCCTGCAGCTGAGTGTGAGTGAGCTGGGGGCCAGCTGGGTGATGACATTGGGGTCTCTGAGGCTGCAGCTGGGCACCGGAAGGCGGGCCGGGGGAGGGGTGGGTGAGATCTGGAGGGGCCACATATGGAGGGCGCCGGGCCTTACAAAGCTCCCGACTCTCCCTATGCCTTCAGGCCTCGGTACCCGTGGATGTGATGCCAGGAGAATTTGACCCAACCAACTACACACTCCCCCAGCAGCCCCTGCACCCCTGCATGTTCCCGCTGGCCACTGCCTACTCAACCCTCCAGCTGGTCACCAACCCCTACCAGGCCACCATTGATGGAGTCAGGTAGCCACTTGCAGCCACACCCCAGCTGAGCACTGGCCTCTTGCCTCGGTGGCACTGGGAGGGGAGGGTTGGGTCCAGGGCTGCAGTTGGCCGGGACCTAGTGTCTTTGTCAAAGTTGGCCTGGGACAGCAGCCGTGAGAATGCAGGGGGAGCTCTGGGCCCTGTGGGGGTACAGCTGCTGGCCCCCAGGGTGGGGATCAGCTGAGCCTTGCCTTGCAGATTCCTAGGGACATCAGGACAGAATGTGAGCGACATTTTCCGGTACAGCAGCATGGAGGACCACCTGGAGATACTGGAGTGGACGCTGCGCATCCGTCACATCAGCCCCACAGCCCCCGACACACTAGGTAATGGGGTGAAGGGCCAAGAGGGTCCCAATGAGGGGGCCTGTGTGCTTGGAGGGTGGGCGTCATTTGTACCCAGCAATCCTGCCTTGACCTATCTAAGGAAAAGTCCAGATGCTTGGCCCTCATTCCGGAAGGTACTCTGGAGCTTTCCCTCAGGGCTGAAGGCCACGGGGAGTATATCAGGAGTTTGGGCTGGTCAGAGCCTTGCACGCCGCCACAGGGCCGCCCAGGAGGGTGAAGGTGGCGGGCACGTTCACCTGTCCCCAGGCTCATGTGGCGATGTCTGGACCCTAGCAGGCAGGGCTGCTACCAGCATAGCCTGAGTGTGTGTGAGCGGGTGGGCTGTGGTGCTCGGTGAGGAGGACCCCACCCCGGCCGTGTGCGGTGCCGAGCCCAGAAGCCGCAACCACTGTGGGCCTTCCCCAGGTTGCTACCCCTTCTACAAGACAGACCCGTTCATCTTTCCCGAGTGTCCTCATGTCTACTTTTGTGGGAACACCCCCAGCTTTGGCTCTAAAATCTTCCGAGGTAAGTCCTTTCTTCTGGGGGCCTCAGGCCTGGGCTGTCATGAGAGGGCAGGGCTCGCAGAAAAGGCTGCACTGGAGTCCCCAGGCCCTGTGGGGTTAGGCAGCCTGCCTGGTGGCCCGCTGGCTGAGTGGGGGCTGAAACGGCCCACACGTGTGCAGTGGTGTTCACGCTCACCCCGGTCAGCATGGCTTTAGCCTCTGACCGTCCTGCTGTCCTGGGCCCTTGCATCTGGCCAGAAGGAGCTTCCGAGGCCAGCACTCCCATGGTGTGCTGATGGGGAACTCCTGTTTGCTTCTGGTGACTTCCCTTGGAGGCCAGGCCCACCCAGAACCTGAGGGGGCGCCTGTGTGGCTTCTCTGCTAGGCCCAGAGGACCAGAGGGTGCTGCTGGTGGCTGTCCCTGACTTCAGCAGCACGCAGACCGCCTGTCTCGTGAATCTGCGCAGCCTGGCCTGCCAGCCCATCAGCTTCTCAGGCTTCGGAGCTGAGGAGGAGGACCTGGGGGGCCTGGGTCTGGACCCCTGACTCACAGAGACCCCGGCCACCCTTTCCCCACAGTGTTGGCACCACAGCAGGGGGTGCTTTGTAATAAAAGCCTGACCTTGTGCTGGCGTTGAGCTCCTGCAGACCTGACCCTGGCCAACATAACCCCCTCCTCCCCTCCCCACCAACACGTGTGCCATGAGCTTGCTTTATTGGTGTGGTCGGGCAGGTGGCTGACAAGTGTGCCCCACCCCCCGCCCCGCCGTGCCTGTTGTGTCTGAGGCTGGCAGGCCGGGCAGGAGCACCTCGCAGACCTGGGCTCCGAGATCTCGTGCCCGACTGGGCCCCCTCCTGGCCAGGCCCACGCCGATGGCTGGGGCTCCTGTGGCGGCAAGGGCTTGGATGTGGGCCGACCTGTGCTCAGAAGTCCCCAAAGTTCACTGTGTAGGTCTCGGCTGTGGTGAATGGGAAATCTGGACCCATGATTGTCTCCTCCTCCTCCTCCAACTCGTCCACTTCCATCTCCTCCTCCTCCTCCTGGGGCCCCAGCTCTGTCCCAAACTCCGTCACCACCTCCGTGTAGGTCTCCGTCTCCGTTTCCGCCTCCTCCCAGCCCACTGTGGTGGTCTCGGGTGGAAAATGCCAGGGCCGCGGGCTGGAGCTGGGGGCAGGCGAAGGGCTGAAGGTGGGG